TTGCTATTTGTGATTATAGAAATCAGAACTCTAGACATGGTATTTAAGTTCAAAAACTTTTATGACCCCCCCTTTCTCTGTGTTAAAACTTTTTTGATCTCCCCTATTTATAAGGGTAAAACTTTGTTTCCCCCCCCCTCCCATTTCCCAACCCCCCCCATAAATAATGACCACTCCCTTACAAACTTCGCAATAATAGGACGATGGGGGGAGGGGAATTTGACGTGACAATTTGAATTTTATAAAGGAAGTACATAATTGGTGTGAACTCAAAATCGCAGGCTCACACAGAAAAATATCGATCCCCAACTTATTATTTATGATATTTTGTAGTGGTCTTGCTAAAATTTGAACAAATAAATACGGAATACATGAGTGCCATTGTGATACCCCAGTTTGTATAATAATTTTTAATTGTTTGTATGCTATTTATATTATGAACTACTGTATTGTAAGCCCAGGGGGAGGGCAGTTTGACTTACACATTTCCCGGGGGAGGGAGGGGGAATTAATGCATTAGAATCATGTTTTTGCAATGTCCCGGGGGTGTACCCCCAGGGCCAGGCCATTGATATGTGCATTACATACAAGTAGTAATCGAGTTGAAATATTATATAATAGTAATAAATTATAGTATATTTCAATAAAGGAATGTATGGTACAGTACAAGTGTTTCATTAAAATTTTGAAAAATGCCTCAGCTGTAGTGCTTTTCAGCTTTTGTTGTTTATTTATTAACATATGGAAACAGAATCACCATAGTCCTCGAAATTTCAAAAGTTTGTTTCCCATCATGACAATTATTTCAATTTCTTGTTAATTTAGTAATTTATTACTCATTTTCTACGGCTCCACACAAAATACTGTAGGTCTGCACCTACCGATACTCCAAAAGCATACATGCGACATGGGCAAAAATACCACCATTCGTTCAGCTCATTTATATTATCTGTTTGGATCATCATTTATACATTTCACGGCAGAAATTGTGGAGATAGTCGCTCGAATGAATTAAAGCTCCAGCTTGAACTTGATATTAGTTGGTAAAGTTCAAATATTTACTAATTTCAAATCTTCTCCAATGTACTCCTTTTTTAAAAATTATAAAGATCAGTCATCTGTGGCTCTCTGGTCAGGGGGGAGTGGGAAATGTCGCCCGCACGCATTTGAACTGTGGTCAGTTAACATACCATGAGAATAGTGGACGTGGAGCTCGAAATCCGCCATGTTTTTGCGGACACTTTTCATTTGCGAGCACGATCTCCAGATATATATAGTAGAGCTCAGTGCTCGTACCCAGTCGTCAATTACGATTTATATAGATCAGTGGACGGAGGTTTGCATTCCCATCATGCACCATTATTTTAATTATCCTCATTTGAGGGACTGGGTACGAGTCAGGTTTCGCGCTATATTTTCATACATGTGGTCATTAATCTATGCATGTGGTGTTCTGAACTGTGAATAGTGACTTTATTTAGCTCGTTTTTATGTCAAAATAACTCGGATATAAGCAAAGTATTATAAAGATTTAGAAAGCAAAGATTCAAGGCTTCAATTGGGTGACATTTTTCATCGAAGTTTCGTCGCACGAGCGACGGTGTCAGAGAAACGCCATGCCTATGAAATGTGAGTTCTGTGACAAGATATTTTCATCCAGAGGCCATTTGGTAAGGCATGAAAGAAAACATACTGGAGAGAAACCTTATGAATGTGATGTTTGCAACAAAACATTTTCTCAAATGGGCAATTTAAGGATACATAAAAGGACACACACTGGAGACAAGCCTTATGAATGCGATGTTTGCAACAAACGATTTTCAGTTCTAAGTTCGCTTTCTAGACATGAAAGAACACACACTGGAGAGAAGCCTTATGAATGTGATGTTTGCAACCAACGATTTTCAGATCCAAGTTCGCTTTCTAAACATAAAAGAACACACACTAGAGAAAAACCTCATGAATGTGATGTTTGCAACAAGAGATTTTCTCAAATGAGCGATTTAAGGAAACATAAAAAATTACATACTGGAGACAAGCCTTATGAATGTGATGTTTGCAACAAACGATTTTCCGCTACAAGTAAGTTTAGCTACACATAAAAGAACACATACCGGAGACAAACCTTATGGATGTGATGTTTGCAACAAAATATTTTCACATTCAAGTAGTCTAGCCAAACATAAAAGAACACACACTGGAGATAAGCCTTATGAATGTGATGTCTGCAACAAAAGATTTTCACAATCCAGCACCTTGACAACACATAAAATGCAAGTGCACAAGAACAACAAGAGTTTTGAGTGTGATGTATGCAAGAAGATATTCACACAAAGTCTTGAACATCACAGAAGTGATCATTTAAAAGATGTCTTGCTGTTGTGCAACATGTGTGGCAGAGAAATTATTCAACCACAAGGACATGCTAATGAGATGCCCAGCAGCAGTCATTACAATTGTGAGAAATGCAACAAAGAATTCCCTGATATTCTGGGCTTGACACAACACAAGGTGAAAGACCATGGTACCAGCTACCAATGCAATGTCTGTCAAGAGTTAGAGGCACAAGAAGCAACTGGTATTGGATACAATTGTTGTATTTGCGATACTGAGTTTGACATTGCGACTGAACTTGAAAGTCATATGAAGACCCATGACTGAACTTGAAAGTCATATGAAGATCCATGACAATGTGTTCTCAGACTAAGCTGGATAATATGAAAAATATATTGAGAGATATGCTGTTTTGAGATTGTTTTAAAATTTGTCTTACATATCGAAAATTATATTGATATTTCAGTGAAGATTGTTAATTTTGACACATAAATTAGCTTTATTGATTAAGATAGTTTTAATTAGGATCATTTTGACTTTAGCTGTTAATTAGGCCAAATAAAAAAAAATACTTGGTTAGCGTCACACTCTCACAAATTTTCAGAGGCGGGCGGGCGGATTTTTTTTAAAATTTTTACTCAATTTTTAATTTTTCAATAGAATTTTGGAGGGGATGGGGGGCGGTTTTTCCACCATATCGGTGATATTTTTTGTACTGATGTTGCGAAGGCCGCCATTTTGCTTTAAGAACCTTGTATATCCAAGCCTACGCGCTCCTATCGATCGGTATATAGCGCGAAGGTCTGAGCATGAGAAAAATTTCAAATATTAAACTGTTTTAAGCTGTAAAACGAAGAGATTTACATAAAAAAAAATAAAAAAAAATTCAGAGGCGGCAGAAAATCGAGAGGCGGGCGGTGACGCTAACCAAGTATTTTTTTTTATTTGGCCTTAATTGGGTTATTTTGTTGTGTTTGGTTAAAACATTGTTAATATTGGGTTAGGTAGTGTAATAAACTGTGATTGGAACAAACTTCCATTCAACTTTGTGACGACTCATTGTAATATATATTTAGAGATTTGAAGTATTTACAGTAGTTTAAACCATGACATGTTTCCGCATAAATACTTGAAATTCTTTATACCATTAGTTTTGTACATCATAATACTAACTGTAAATCATCAATTTAAAATAAAGCCCCCTTCCCAATTAAGCTCCCTCTCAAATAAGTCCCCTCTCCAATGTGCTTGCCACTTTTAGCGGACAAGATTTATCTGAGCCCGGGCCATGCATGTTTCCCATGGCTGCCGAGACAATTCGCAGGGCCAGTGGCAAATCTTCTCTTGAGGCCATATGACACCATTATTTTTAACCTCAAGTCAGTCAAGCTACTGTAAGTGGCCCTCAATCTCAAACATGCTCCGCCCAATTTAAAGAACCACTCAATTTTAGGCTCTTGTTCTCAAGTTGGGACCTATCAAGGTGTGAGGTCCAGGGCAATTCCCCCCCTCCCCCTCTCGGAGGCCCTGATGTTACCCCCAGGACATTTTAAAATCTGAGGCCTTTCAGACAGGGGTGACACTAGAGGGGGAGGAGGGGGTGTAACCCCATCACATGGCCATGAACGAGTCTGCAAATTATTGGCTTAGTTGCATTCAGTCTGCAAAAATTGAGCTGTAAATGGGATATGGAATTATCGAATTATCTGAACTAAAACCATGCAAACGTGAATTTTATAATTAAACATATAAAATTTTATACTTCAAAAAGTGAGGCGAATACTTTAAAATGTGCTCCATCGAAGTCCCAGAGCATGCCCGTTCGCAGGTTAGGATTGTCCCACACTTCAATCATCGACAATTTGCTTTTGCATAGTGGAAGCACGACTTCGACACTTCCGCCGTTTCGCGCCATATTTTCATACATGTGGTGTTCTGAACTGTGACTTTATTTAGCTCGTTTTTATGCCAAAATAACTCGGATATAAGAAAAGTATTATAGAGATTTAGAAAGCAAAGATTCAAGGCTTCAATTGGGTGACATTTTTTATCGAAGTTTCGCCGCACGAGCGACGGTGTCAGAGAAAAGCCATGCCTGTGAAATGTGAGTTCTGTAACAAGATATTTTCATGCAGAAGCGCTTTGGCAACGCATAAAAGAACACATACTGGAGAGAAACCTTATGAATGTGATGTTTGCAACAAGAGATTTTCTCAAATGGACCATTTAAGAACACATCAAAGAACACACACTGGAGACAGGCCTTATGAATGCGATGTTTGCATCAAAAGATTTCCAGATCCAAGTTCGTTTTGTAGACATAAAAGAACACACACTAGATACAAGCCTTATGAATGTGATGTTTGCAGCAAGAGATTTGGTCGATTGGATCATTTGAGGACACATAAAAGAACACACACTGGAGACAAGCCTTATGAATGTGATGTTTGCAACAAGAGATTTCTTCATATGTGCATTTTAAGGGCACATAAAAGAATGCATACTGGAGACAAACCTTATGAATGTGATGTTTGCAACAAGAGATTTTCTCAAATGGGCCATTTAAGAACACATCAAAGAACACACACTGGATACAAGCCTTATGAATGCGATGTTTGCAATAAAAGATTTGGTCGATTGGATTATTTGAGGACACATAAAAGAACACACACTGGAGACAAGCCTTATGAATGTGATGTTTGCAAGAAAAGATTTTCACAATCCAGCAACTTAGCAAGACATAAAATACAAGTGCACAAACAGAACAAGAGTTTTGAGTGTGCTGTATGCAAGAAGATATTCACACAACGGCAAAGTCTTGAACATCACAGAAGTGATCATTTAAAAGATGGCTTGCTGTTGTGCAACATGTGTGGCATAGAAATTAATCAACTAGAAGGACATGCTAATGAGATGCCCAGCAGCAGTCATTACAATTGTGATAAATACAACAAAGAATTCCCTGATATTCTGGGCTTGACACAGCACAAGGTGAAAGACCATGGTACCAGCTACCAATGCGATGTCTGTCAAGAGTTAGAGGCACAAGAAGCAACTGGTATTGGATACAATTGTTGTATTTGCGATACTGAGTTTGACATTGCGACTGAACTTGAAAGTCATATGAAGATCCATGACAATGTGTTGTCAGATTAAGCTGGATAATATGAAAAATATATCGAGAGATATGTTGTTTTGAGATTGTTTCAAAATTTGTCTTATATATTGAAAATTATGTTGATATTTCAGTGAAGATTGTTAATTTTGACACATAAATTAGCTTTATTGATTAAGATAGTTTTAATTAGGATCATTTTGACTTTAGCTGTTAATTAATTGGGTTATTTTGTTGTGTTTGGTTGGACCCATGACACCATTATTTTTAACCTTGGCGCAAGTCAGTCAAGCTACTGTAAGGGGCCCTCAATTTCAAACATGCTCCACCCAATTTAAAAAACCACTCAATTTTACGCTCTCGTTCTCAAGTTGGGGCCCTATCAAGGTGTGGGGCCCAGGGCAATTTGACCCCCCCCCTGTCGGAGGCCCTGATGTTACCCCCAGAACATTTTAAAATCTGAGGTCTTTCAGACAGGGGTGACGCTAGAGGGGTTGTAGAGGAAGAGGGGGGTGTATTAACACCCTTGCCATGAACGAGTCGTCAAATTGGCTTTGTTGCATTCAGTCTGCAAAAATTGAGCTGTTTGGATATGGAATTATCGAATTATCTGAACTAAAACCATGCAGACGTGAATTTAATTAAACATAAAATTTTATACTTCAAAAAGTGAGGTGAATATCTTGAAAATATTACACTACTTGACAATACTACTATACTTGACAATACTACACTAATTGACAATATTTTCACCAATGACACGGAAATTATAGAATCAAGCAAAAATGGGATAATTTTTTGCGATATCTCAGATCATTTACCAATAGTTCATGCACGAAATTCAAAAAATTACCATAAAAAAACTTCAAAAACTGAATTTTCTTGTAAAAGAATTATCAGTGATGCCAATGTTGAATCATTTATTAATACAATTAAGAATATATCATGGGAAAATGTACTTTAAATTCTGAAAACAACACGACAGAGTCCTACAACAAATTTTTCAACTTATTTTCAATAGCTTATGAAAAAAACTTTCCATTGACAAAGAAAGTTGCGAAAAGAAAGATTGACAAAACTCGAAGCCCATGGATGACAAGATGTATTGCAAAATCAGTTAAGCAAAAGAACAAATTATATAAAAAATACCTCCAATACCCTACAGGAAAAAACGAAAAGATATACAAAAAATATAAAAATAAATTAAATCATGTGATAAAAGTGGCAAAAAAGAAATATTATGAAGAACAGTTAATAAATTATAAACATGATACAAAGGTATTATGGAAAACATTAAATGAAATTATGAACCGAAATAAGACAAATAGAATGTTACCAAAAGAATTTAATGGAAATAGCCCTGGAGAAAAGATTACTGATCCAAACACAATAGCAAATAGATTCAATGACTATTTTGTAAATATTGGCCCAGGACTAGCAAAAACACTCCCGAATTCCAAAAAAACCTTTGATAAATATCTCACTAATAGCTGTAAAAATAGCCTCTTTATTAATCCAATAACTAAATATGAATTAGAAAATGAGATAAACAATTTGAATGCCAAAAAAAGCCCTGGCTATGATGGTATAAGCTCACAGGTAATCAAAGCGATTGCTACAGAAATTTCTGAACCACTTTCACACATATTTAACTTGACTTTTCTTTCTGGAACTATTCCTAATGATCTAAAAATAACTCTAGTTACCCCTATATTCAAAGCAAACGAAAAGAATGAATTTAAGAATTATAGGCCCATATCTGTTCTCACTAGTTTTTCTAAATTGTTAGAAAAGCTTATGTATAAGAGATTAATTAACCACATAGAAAAATATAACATATTAACACAGCATCAGTATGGTTTTAGGGAAAATAGATCCACTGAGCTTGCAATCATAGAACTTGTTGACAGAGTTAATAAGGCAATCGATAGAGCAGAATACACAATAGGTATTTTCCTCGACTTGTCAAAAACCTTTGACACAATTGATCACAAGATATTGATTCAAAAACTTGATCACTATGGTATACGGGGAATAACTCAATTATGGTTTCAAGATTACCTAAAGAATAGAAAACAAATTGTTAAATACAACCAAATTAAATCAAAAGAAATGGTAATTAAGAGTGGTGTCACACAGGGGTCAATTCTTGGACCAATTCTATTTCTGCTTTATATAAATGATATTGAAAATTGCAGCAAATTAATTTCATTTATATTATTTGCAGATGACACTAATATATTTTATAGTAACAAGTGTCTAAAGACACTTAGTAATATTATACAAACAGAAATTGATGAAGTTGCTGAATGGTTAAATGTGAATAAATTATCTAAATACTACAAAAACAAAAATAATTTTATTCAGATCTCCAAATAAAAAACCAAGTCAAACCATTAAAATTAACATAAATGGTAAAAATATCGAACAAGTTAAAAGTAAAACCTTCCTCGGTATTATCATTGACGAATGTTTGACCTGGAAAGATCATATAGCTAAGGTAGCAAAGAAAATAATTAGAGCTGCTGGTATAATAGCTAAAATACGACATTTCATAAATCGAAATACTCTAAAACTTATATATTATGTATTAGTCTATCCATATTTGATATACGGCAACTTAACATGGGGTAATACCGGGTGGGGCCAAAAAAGTACGACTGTTTGATTTAATATGACTCAAAAAATAAAAGAGCTATTACACTTAAATAAATCACCCTATATTCCGCGATGTTTAACTTAGATTTTGATATATGTCTGGTGCATTTTCATGCGATTATGACTGAGATAATTGTGTTTAAACTTACGCAAACATTTTTGGAACCGCCAATAATTAGCTGAAAAGCCCCTATTAAACTAATTCAATAACCGTTACGATTTGTTCGCGATTATTTTTTCAATGAAGTGAAGTCGAAGTTATAGAAATATTTCTTCATTCACAGACTTTTTATTTTTTGTTTTACGATGTTGGGCAATGGATGTGAACTTATAAGGCCAATTTTATTAAAAGTTTTGTTCCTAGAAGGTATCCGATACCCGTGGGATAGGTAGTCTGTATGTTCTAATGAGTCTAGAACGAGCTTCCCCATTTCACGGGCAAGATGTTGCAATTGTGCCGGGGAACATGAATTTGCTGATGAATAGATGATTGCTTTTGAACAACAAGCGTTAACGTACTGACTATAGAGTATAACGCGTCTTAACACAAGTTGTTTTTGTATATAAAGGTATTAATATTTAATAGGCCGTTTTTAGCTTAATTCTCTCAGTTTCAAAAATGTTACTCTTGTTCAAATGCACGTATCTTTGACAATATGGCATGGAAATGTGCATGGCATATATCAAAATTTAAGTTAGACATCGCTGAATGCCAATAAACGTGTTTTATTGTCATTGCTCTTTTAGTTCTGACTTTTATACCAATTCAAAGAGTCGTCCTAGACATTTTCAAAATCAGTGACTATTTACAGCCAATTGCAGTTGAGCTTGCAGCTTGCATTTTAAACGCGTTGTTGCATCGTTGAAAAGTATGCGTTCATTCCTTGGAAACACGCCGTTGCTAGGGGCGTAACGTGAACTTTTGGCGCGCGTTGTAACGGCGTAAACATGTTTTTCTATTCTTGGCGTTGACGAATTAAATTAGATTTTGTCACAAAACCGACCAGGGAGTTCTAATTTGTCTGCAGGCATTCTAAAAATACCTTACTGTTCCGTCGCAGGCTTAAGCAGCGTTTTTACAATATATGTAACTCGTTATACATTTGTTTGCACGCCGTTCAGAAGTTCAACAATGCCCGCCAAAAGTTCACGTTACGCCCCTAGCAACGGCGTGTTTCTAAGGAATGAACGCATACTTTTCAACGATATAACAACGCGTTTAAAATGCAAGCTGCAAGCTCAACTGCAATTGGCTGTAACAGCCCTATTTATGTTTCGATACCACCACCTTAACAATTTACCAGATTTCTTTAAAAATTATTTCGTAACAAACAACCAAACAGGGGCGGATCTAGGATTTTTCGCACGTTAGTCAAAAATCTATGACGTCATCGATGACGCAAAACGTGATGACGTCATTTGCCATGACGTCATTCGATGTCACGATCATAGAGATTATAAATAACACTAGAGGAAGCATTGTAATCTTAATTCAGTTAAAAAAAGGGAATGCGACTATTGGGGGGCAAATTCAAGTACCGGATGTGTATTTGTGTTCCCATTGGTGACGAGTTTCAAATCAGCCAATGAGAGCACGATTTTATATCCGGGACTTGAATTTGCCCCCCATTAGCTGCGTTCCCAATTTTTAAACTCGATGCCTCCTCTAGTGTTATTTATAATCTCTATGGTCACGATGATAGTCCAATTTTCGTGGGAGTATAGATATTTTATTTTATCAAACTACAAATCAACCTCGTTCCCAGGGTATTTGCTCTTGGGAAGCAAAGACCCTGGTGGACGCTGGTCACGTGACCCATAGAAAATTGATAGCCTCAGAGGGGGATGGAAAGGTCTCATATTACATGTTTCCACTTCCGCACTTCACACTTCGATTGCAAGGAGTGGCCGTGCTGCCGGGCAATAATCTTTGAGAATCATATATTCTTCAAAATTCTTGCTAAATTGCTTTCTGTTTGCCGTTTTAAATTATACAAACATGGTAAAATGCAGATTCTTGTACTAACAGACAAGTCTGCAAATCAAGCAACGAAAACGTATGACCGTATGGTTTGAAATATTTGCGTTTTTAATATTCTCTCGGGGTTCGGGCGCAATATTTTCATTTCAATGATTTCATACGTACGTTTCTGTCCTGGCTCTGCCTCTGGTTCAGATATTTACAATATTCTTATAATATGCCATTGAATTGTTGTCATATAGAAAGGAAACGGTATAAATTTTGTAAAATAGAGGTATCAAAAGCGACTGACAAAATTGTTTGGAATCGACACTCGACAGTGCACTTTTTTGTCTTCACGACTACCTGTTTGTTGAGCCAAAATATTGCACAGAATCTCCTATAATAAATTATAGCTATCGCCATTCACCCTCCCACCCTGAATGCAAAGGAATGATATCCGAAAAGATTTAGCAAAGTATTTGTTATTATATCTGGTACGAAGTGTCCCTATACGTTTTATCAGGGTATATATTTATATATACATAATTCATAAACTGTATATGCGCACCAAGTCTCGCTCATAGAATTACTTAATGAGTTTTATTAAGCCTTTTAAAGTTTCTATTGATACTGATAGATAGGTTGTTTGCTTACAGTTACGAAGTATCGTTTGGTGAAACTTCTAAAATTTCAATTACAGTTACGACACAGTATAGGGGTATATACGATAAAGATTAAAGACTTAAAGTTGATTTAAATATTGATGACTCACAGCGGCATTATACAAGCCGAAAGAAGCTGGATTTTAAGTTGGATTATTCTTCAAATAATGCCTGGGCATTAATACCAATGCCAATGAAAGGTCTTTATAAGATTTATAATGTTTACTGCAATATATGATATAATTTAGTCTAGTGCATATATCGTCCTAGATATTCAAGTTGTACCGCACGCACCGAGGAGTCTTGGCGTGTGATAACAGTATACTGTAGCTGCACTTCGACATATATCATTCTTGATCGTTGAGCTGTTTCAGCAATGTAAATAAAAGGAATAACGGGTTTAACCCTGTGCTTACTGTAATTCACAGTCAAAACAGCACTATTGTTTTTATATACACAGTTGGCGATGTTCAGTACTAAATAAATCCTTTGTTTTGAATATCGGACAGGATACATTTCAACTATAAACAACCATATCATATCGTTCGTTTTATATAAATACCGTTTGATCGATCAGTCGGTGTAGAAGATATCAGATATGTATGTTTATACGGCGATCTGATGCGTGCTCACTAGCCAGGCGCGTGTGGAGTATATTTTTCCTTGCAAGTGAAATATGATCCAGCTTCTCGCTTGAAATGTACCGCAGCACTTATTATTGATGACATTCAATATAGCAGGAAATCTTGTCATGATGAGTACGAATTTAGAACAGTATAAATCATGTTTATTAATACATGTAAAGTGAAGTATACAGCACTAATGCATCTGGCGAATGTCAACTACTACATTCCCACCCCTCCCAGATTGACAAAACAACGCTAATTAAAAATCTGCTAGATTTTAGCAGATCACGTGACCAGCGTCCACCAGGGTCTTTGCTTCCCAAGAGCAAATACCCTGGGAACGAGGTTGACTACAAATGCGCAAATGACATAGTTTTCGTACCTGCCAATGTTCAGCATATATATGATAAAGTAATATATAGACTGGTTTGCCCTACAGTGTATACCTTGGTTCATCAGCATGCCTAGGAAACACATTTACCAAAAATAGTAAACCATGATCCAACAAGGACAGCTCCTTGAAAAAGCTGAACACAAGCACATGTTTCTGGCACCTTAAAACTAGATTGCTTGCCTTCACACCTTTTGCAAAAGCAAAAGGAGTTTGGTTAGAACTTAGAAATGGGTGACAATGAAAACCACCTAAAATGAGCAATCTGGTTTTAAGGTGCCATAAACCCACCTCACACCTTTCACCATATAGCAAAAGGAGCTTGGTTAAAAATGGGTGACAATATGTGAAATTGTCCAGTTTTTCCCTTTAGCCCCTTCCCCCTATTACTAACCTATGTCTAATCTAATTAAATTCATCATCTTGTTATATACTGTCCACTATGGAAATGTATAACATCACAAGTGATTTAAATGGTGCCTCAAAGCTGCAGCTTCATTGGAAGCCAACTTTTATTGAAAACAAGTTTATTTTACCTGGCATTTTAATTAAACATATTTTAATCACAGTAGATTCAAATACAAAAGATTCATTACAAATGACTACTACTTTACTTATCTAGTTATCTGAAATAATTGGCAAGGTTTTTAACACAGTATTCTATTATTCTTACACTATGCTTACATACTGTATATAGACACATATGGTGTTTGTCTGTCAGGGCCTGAAATAACATTCCCAAAATTCCCGATCATGGTGGTTGATCATGGTGATTGATCATGGTGATCGGCAGTCGACTTTCCCTGCTTTTTCAGGTTGAAAACCCTGCTTTTCCGCTGATCATAAGCAATTTCTTGCTGATTATTGATTGGTAATCAGTTGTTATTTCAAGCCCTGGTCTGTTGAAAAATTTAACTGGTTCAAGATGCAATGGACCGGTCTCAAGCCAATGAGATCAGACCGATATTTGGCATCAGCTTTTGTCTACAAAGTCCGAATGTTTGGGGAGGGGGGAGATTATGGGAATTAAGGTGGTGATCTTGAAAGGCTAAGTTTGGTTGATGATGAAGGAAGTTTTTTCTCATGCCCCAGGAAGTTTTTTCTCATGTCAGTGTTGTGTACAAGAGTGAGGTTATTGTTATTGGAGGCAAGAGTGGTCTTTTTGCAAGCCGATATATTTAACCTTAACCTCATGCATGGTCCAGAAAATTTATTAACAAAGTTTCCTACAGTATGTTAGGAATAATATCCTGGTGAATTTGCATCATGACCAAGCCAAGTCATTTAATCTAATTAGTCTTCAACCATAGTGCTTCTTCGCTTATACTGTATAAAAAGTGACATACTGTATAGACCTTTCACACTTGCACTGTAAACATTTAAACTATCAAGGTCAAATTTATAGGTCATTGGTACCTGTCAATGCTTTAATAGGAAACAGAGCTATATACAGCCAATTGCCAGTTGCATTAGATCTAAAAATATAACCAAAGATTATATTATTATTATCTTTATAAAGTACATTTGTAGAGCTATTATCAGTCAATCAATACTCTATAAAGCATGTACACAATAAATATTTTTTATCCAATCTGATCAAATATTTGAGATCAAGTTTCTGCCACTTGAGGTGTTTTAATTTTATACACATATTGATGAATATGTATGCAGTATATGAAACTTTGGACCTATAACCTCGCACAATTATGCAAATCGTACGTTCAATTCAACGATTTATTGTTCAAAATTCAAACCACTTTACCTTATTGCCATACACCTCTTATTAATCTCTTGAAAATATAGACGACGAGAAATCAACACATCATAGTTTCGGCCAAGACAATTTTCTTGCATCCATCGAATTTATCAGCTTGAAATATTCTCCACAGAACACCAGAAAGCATCCCTTATCGAAACAAATAACGATATAACCCTTTCGAAATCTTTATTTCGAAAATAGTTCAACAAATATACTAAGATTAAGCGAAATAATTCGCTTGTAAAATTGTACAGAGCTGCAACAGAGCTACCAAGTGCACAATGCTTCCAAATTGAAGATTAGAAGGCCAATCAGAGGAGATGTGCTTTAACTCTTTTGCGCAAATTGTCCAATCAGAAGCTGCTATCTATTTGCAGGATTAGTCAAAATAGTCAAAATTGCGCAATCGTTAGTCAAAATAGGTCTGACCAATCAACATGCCTGTAATGTGTAATCTGAACAAATTTGACCAATCAAATCACATGAACTAAAATGCAGAATAGTCAATTTTCATTTCAATACCGCTTATTTGACTTATCGTTTGACTAATCAATCGCTGGCTCAATGTGCAAAAACTGATCGAAGTTTATATGCTGGAGTGTGATGTAGTTTTGATTGCATGATCAGAAATGAAGAGAAGCGTTTGCGCTGGGAAAAAAATTCAAAAACCTTAGTCCAAATTTTTTTATATGCCTTTTTTTTACGTTAGTCGCGTGACTAATCTGACTACCCCTAGATCCGCCCCTGAATGGCATACATTATGCATGCAGTCGTGCAAGATTAAAAATATAATAGTATTACATGAAATATCACTATCTTGTGGCTCAAGTGAATTGGGCAACCACGCCTTTTGTGTATTTTTAACAGCGTGAAATATTATTATTTGGGGTAATTTCTCTTGTTTAGGATATGCTGACATTCAAAGCATCAAAATATAGTTTCAAGAATGTCCCAGAACCTTCAAGCACTGATGCAGGCACGACATATCGACTGTGTATGTGTTCGAACAACAAATTGTTTAGAATCGAAGTGAAGACAGGTCATCACTGTAAGAACGCTATATCTGCTTGTTTGTCTTAACAAGACAATCATGAGGGTTTTTTTATCTTTTAGGGTTATTCTAGGTCTTTTACCTCTGATATTAGCGTAGGCTTTATCTGTATTGTTTTATAGGCAATGTTTTATATAGTATGTGGTGTATTTTTTTGAGTGGTAGAACTTATATATATATATATATATATATATATATATATATATATATATATATATATATATATATATATATATATATATATATATATATATATATATATATATATATATATATATATATATATATATATATATGTATATATAATACAGTATGGCCGATATATTGTTGTGCAGTGTTTCTGTCGTGCAGTACTTTTGTCGTGCAATATATAAATTGACCATATTCAAATTACGCGTCTAAATATTCCTGTTCTTCTCACCAATCTAGTCATCACCAACAGTGGCGTATAGCAAGCTCGATAATTGGGGGGGGGCAGCATTCATATATTCGTGTTCACAGACCTTAAAAACAATCGATTCCAAAAGAAATTAATAATGCAGAACACAAATATTTGAATATCCCCCCCCCCCCAATTATCGAGCTTGCTACGCCACTGATCACCAAACATAACTTGGATTTCATGCAAGGATTTTACTTGAATTTCAACTAAACATTTACATGTAACATGAAGTTTAATATTATCGTTGTTACAGACCTTTCCCTGCATGTGTGTGATTGATGTAGTAATGAAAATGAATTTGTACCAGCATGGGTCCCCTACCTATGCGGGTCTTTGTGATAATTCTCCAACTTTGTTACTGGAATTTAAAATGACATCCAGACCTAATTAACCGGGCTTTTTTCAATGCAACTCTTGTTGATAGCAGTTATTTTAACTGCGTGGTAAGTAGTATAGGGGAGGGGGGTTCTACGACGGGTAGTGCGGGTAGTGCACTTAGCACCCCCAGACATCATCCGAAAATAGGGCTTAGTAGTCAAAGATGGTGCTACTTTTGGTACAGTTTTTGTTGCATGCCCATATATGGGCATGCAACTTTCATATAGCTCTAAATTTCGTGTCGTGTTGTGCGTTGTACCGGCGGTGGTAAATCACGTGACAGATTCGTATGTGGAAGTTGAAACTTCAATTGCAATATGCACGCTTTTGTTCACGGCTTTTGTTCACGGCTTTCGTCGAGGAAACGCAAAGAAAATATTGAGTTTTCGTCGAACATTTACGTAATTTAGCGCCTTAGAAAAATAGATCGAGGTACGTAAAGCTTTGCTGTTGTTAATTTAGCTTATATTCTGTCATTTGACAATTTGTTATTATTTTGGTGCCGTTGTGCTCGCACTGGTACTAGGGACCTTTAGCTAGCAGGACGGCGACGGCTATTAATACAATGAAATTTATGACAGTGTAGAAAGAAAATGCATAATTAAAGGGGTCCCATGGGAGTTTTAGACGTCGTCCTTGCTCTGTTTACAACAGCAAACCAAAGATTTTCACGTTTTGTACACAACGTCTGCCTTTCAAGCCGCGAGAAGTCGTCCTCGCCAAATTGGCGTAGTAGAAGTCTTCTCAACTATAAACCTCTGTCTTAATTAAGACTTAACCTTCTTAAATTGCAATAAATTCATACAACGGATAATACAAGACATGTTGATCTTAAAGTTACTTATTCGAACAAGTACTGTGTGTAAAACTTCAAATTTCAAATTTACATCACATTCTGTGAATATAAACATGAACTATTGAGTATTGTCTACCGAAATTTAATACAACGAAATAGCATTCTACTTCGATAATTTCAATCATAGTCGAGATCATAGTTTAATAATAATTATTTTCAATCTATTGTAATTGACGGTTTCCACGGGTTTTTATACTTTCAGTAAGCCACAATAAAGCTAAATTTCAATTTGCAGGAAAATATAAACATTGTTTACTTCGAATAGTCAATCAGTGATGAACCTTGACCTGTTGACCTTGTTATTACCGTCCCTTGCAGCTACAGATGAACAGTCGCGAAAAGCTTGAAAATGTTTTGTTATTTTGACATAATAGCTTTTTTTCAATAAATATATTGATATTAAACTTATTGAATCAATATGTTAAGTTTCAGGCCAGTTGTACCAAAATTTATAAGCGCTTGTGGACATGGAATAAAGGCGGATTTCCATTCAGTGCAAAATGTCGCGCGATCGACATTTTGCGATCATTTTCTTTTGAAATACAAGCAATCAAACGCAACTGATCAGGTTCACTGAACGCATTTCAAAAGAAAGTGATCGCAAAAAGTTGATCTCGCGATATTTTGCACTGAATGGAAATCGGCCTGAATGCAACTCTCCTCCTCAGAGTCTTCAGTCCAGTATCTATTCTGTGCTTTAGTTGTCTTATGATTTATCACGATGAGATACATTTCACTACACTTTACATAGCGGAACTCGGAACACGGGCGGAGCCTGTGGGCGAAGGAGCGGGGGCGGAAAAGGGCGAAGGAAAGGAAAGGCAACTAAAGCCTCTGCGGAGGAGAGAGGGCATGCAACATGTACGCACTGCGTACCTATTTTTGTATCTTTGGGTCGATGCTAGGTCGATCAGAGATCGATGTTGGGTCGATGAGGGGTCGATGTGGGGCATTGGTATCTAGGCACAAAAACCGCACAATGACGTCCCTTTAGTACATATGCCGGGAAAAGTCGTATGGCGGAAAAATACTGTATGACGTCATCCCTTTTATACCAGCTAATATTTACCAGCTAATATACTGTTAGCTGATCGTTTTTTTTACCAGTTTAAATAATGACATCATTATTACGCTGATGACGTCATGGGTGGAGCAAGGCGCTCTACTACTTGCATGCATCCAAGCCACAGCAGTATATTTTGTTCTAAGATCAGTAAGATTTTGCATTCGCCTAACCCCTTTTTCCAACATGATTATACTAATATATATATATATATATATATATATATATATATATATATATATATATATATATATATATATATATATATATATATATATATATATATATTATATATATATTATATATATATTATATATATTATATATAATATATATATAATATATATATAATATATATATAATATATATATATATAATATATATATAATATATATATAATATATATATAATATATATATAA